AAAAAAAAAAAAAAAAAAAAAAAAAAAAAAAGACCGCATAACAGGCTGGGTGCGGTGGCTCATGCCTGTAATCCCAGCTCTTTGGGAGGCTGAGGTGGGTGGATTGCTTGAGGTCTGGAGTCTAGGACAAGCCGGGCAACATGGCCAAACCCCGTCTCTACTGAAAATACAAAAAAATTAGCCTGGCATGGTGGTGTGCCTGTAGACCCAGCCACTGGGGAGGCTGAGGCAGGAGAATAGCTTGAACCCAGGAAGCAGAGGTTGCAGTGAGCGGAGATGGGGCTACTGTACTCCAGCCTGGGCAGCAGGGCGAGATCCTGTCCCTGCTACCCCCCAAAAAAGACTGTATAACAGAAATAAGGAAACAGGCTGAGAGAAGAGGTGAGTTCAAGGTTGTGGGAAGTAGAAAGTTCCTTTTTAAAGTTCCCTTTCTTGTTAAAGAATAAATGTGCTAATAACTTTGTGAAGCCCTATCCTCTGTAGCTGCTAGACACGCCATGCTTACAGGCACGTAGTCCATTCTGTGTCCTTGTACTTTAACCAACATATCTGTGCTGGACGTGCTCACAGGCATGTCCCAGCTCTCCACTGCTCTTACCTGTTTAGAAAAGTGTTAAGTTGTTAGCCAATCGGGTTTCAGTTTAGATTGTGAGGTCTGGCTCCAGCCAACGGAGAGCAGACCCAGCAGTGAGGACAACTCCGAATGTGTAAGGAATAAATGTGTGTGTTTTCCTTTGTTCACTGTACTCTCATGGCACGATGGCTAGCGAGGGTCCCCTTCCTGTAGTCCAGGATGTAAACATTGCATTACTGAAGGATCCTTTGTCTCAGTGCTACTTTTTCTTTGCGGCACCAAGCATCTATGTCCAACATCTATTTCCAACAAAGGTCACGTGGCTGTTAAAGGACAGGTTATGCTGCAATGACAATGACGCCAATTCTCAGCGGCTGGGCCCAGCACAAGCCTGTCTTCACTATACCTGTGTCCAGCCTGGGTGTTAGCAGAGTGCACAGTGGTGCGGGGATCAGGGACGCAGAGCGACAAGGCACCGCCTCCACCTGACCCCGGCCTGTACATCACCACGAGAGGCCGCTGCCCACTGGCTCGGGAAGCTTTGTCCTGGCACGACACGCCCACACCCACACCCAAGCACATCCCATGACCACGCCCTGCCTGAGGTGGTGGGACGTGTCCCACTGTGTACCTGGAGCACAGAGAGCAGCAGTGACGGAAGCTGGGGCGGGAACCTCAGGGTTCCGCTACCCACTCCTGGTCGTCCGCACCAGGCACAGAGCAGCGAGCATGCGGCCTCAGTGGTGAGCTCAGGCTTCATCTTTCCCACAGGGTTAAGCTCGGCTGCTGGAAGCAAAGGTCTGGGGAAAACGTCTCTAGACCCGGAAGCGCCCATAGCTCCCAGGGCCCCCGGGCAGAGGAGCAAACGCATCCCCGGCTCACTTACTATTGCAGACTGACGCCAAACTGCTGGGTGGGCAGCGGGGGCCGCGGCGGCGGTGTCTTGGCGGAAGGTGGCGGCCGGCCCTGGTGCATGCTCTGTAGCTTCTCATCGTACCTGCAGACACAACAGAGGCTGGGCTCTCACCTGGCAGGGGCAGCTGGCAGCCACGGAGGCGCTGGGTGGGGCTGGATGCCCCATGAACATCTGCAGGACACCTGGGCATTGCGTCCCTCTAGGCACACATGCCACACCACCAGCTCACTCACGCTCTCACACACACACACACACACACTCACCATTGCTGTGGGCATTCTCACAAGATGCAGTAGTCCAACCCTGAGCAAATGTCCAGTCTCTCCTTCAACCCCTGGCCAGCGGCCCTACCCCAACCAGCAGAGCAGCCTCACCTGCTTGCCAGGCGGTCAGTCCTAAGGTGGGCGCGACCACCCTCAGCTCTCCAGAGTCTGAATTTAAGAGCTGGCTCGCAATGCTAACGGGACCTTGTCCCTTCTCTTACTTTATCCCCAGTGCCTGGAAAAGGCTTGCTGCATATTAGATGCTCAATTAAAATATTTGTCGAATGAATGAAGAAACTCATGAATAAACACATGAAGAGGATGGATAACTCTGAAGGAGGCGGTTAAAGCCTTCGGGGGGAAAAGAGCCTCTGTGCTGGGCCCCGTGGCTCACGCCTGTAATCCTAGCACTTTGGGAGGCCAAGACAAGTAGATCACTTGAGGTTAGGAGTTCAAGACCAGCGTAGACACATGGTAAAACCCTGTCTCTACCAAATATACAAAAATTAGCTGGACGTGGTGGTGCACGCCTGTAATCCCAGCTGCTCGGGAGGCTGAGGCAGGAGAATCACGGGAATCCAGCAGGCTGAGGTTGCAGTGAGCCGAGATCACGCCACTGCACTCCAGTCTGGGCAACAGAGTGAGGCTCCGTCTCCAAAAAAAAAAAAAAGAGCAGCAGGTAACAGCCCTTCCTTAACACAGGCAAACATGTATTGAGGTCCTACTATGTGCTGGGCACTGTGCATACAGCAATGGCCCGGCCACGGGATGGGAAGCACACGAGCATTAGCACCTTAGGAGTCAAGACAGTGCAGGCACATGACCCAGAGGCACCCAACACATCAGGTGGGCGAACGGAGTCGGGGAAGGTCTGCGGAAAAGGCGGAGCTGGGCTGAGCCTGGCCAGCCAAGCAGGTGTGAGCCGCTCCCACGGGCAGCTGTTCTTTGTGAGTTCATCACAGCGCTCTGCACCCCAGGTGGCTCCCGAGAGATGTCTCCGTCCCTCATGAGGGGCCTACCGTGGAGGGGTTATTTTGTCTGCTTTACAGATTGGGAAATTGAGGCTTGTCCAGGTCTGGTGACATGCCCTAGGTCATAAGCTGGGACAGCCAGGATTCAGGACCCCAAGGCCCTGCCCTGCTGCTAAGCCAGTGGGTCTCAGCTTCCAGATCTCACAGCACCACCAGGGAGTGTGTGGGGGTGGATAAAATCCAGACTTAGACCCCCCGCCCCAGTCTAGTAGATGCTCAATTAAAAGCATCAGGATTGGACACAACCTCTGGGGTTCTGCTGCATGGCTATGGAATAGGGTGCTGGCTGCCCACTGAGTAAGCTCAGGAGCTCCTAATGCCCAAGCCCACGCCCCGCTCCCAAACACTGTCCCTCTCTGACTCACAGGACCCTGCACCCTCAGTGCTGCCAGCCACCTGCACATTCCAGAGGCCCCAGACTGCACCCAGTAGCCCCTGAGAAGCCAGAGCTGGGTGTTTCACAGATGCCATCCGTTTTACCCCCAAATCACTCTGCCACGCAGGAGGACGTGAAGTTACCCTTTGTCAACAGACAAATCACTTCCACCAGAGCTGCTAACAATACGTCTGAGCCATGTCCACGGACTCCCCCCCCAGGTCACTCTGGCGAGGTCTGGGCGTCGGGTCTCGCCAAGGCCCATGGCAGAGCAGGGATTCCCATCATCCTCCCATGAGCTCCGGGTCCAGTTCACTCTCCTCTGCTTGGCACCAGGACTCCCAGCCCAAGGAGACCTCCAGCTTCACGTTCACCAACTCCGGCCTGATCGCGTGGGACTTCTGGCTGCCTCCAAATCTCCCAATATTTCACCCCCATGTTTGCAGGAGGGCTTCCCTCTGCGGGAAATAGGCTTCCTGGCCTCTTGAGCTACCAACGGTCCCTCTGAAACTCGCTTTAAGAGCCACTTCTGAGCTAGGCGTGGTGGCTCACGCCTGTAATCCCAGCACGTTGGGAGGCCAAGGCAAGTGGATTACCTGAGCTCAGGAGTTCGAGACCAGCCTGGGCAACACAGTGAATACCCATCTCTACTAAAACACAAAAACATCAGCCTGGCGTAGCAATGTGCGCCTGTAGTCCCAGCTACTTGGGAGGCTGAGGCGGGAGAGCTGCTAGAACCCGGGAGGTAGATGGAGGTTGTGGTGAGCCGAGATTGCGCCACTGCACTCTAGTCTGGGCAACAGAGCAAGACTCTGTCTCTGGGGGCGGGGTGGGGAAGCCACCTCTGCGTCAGGTGCGGTGGCTCATGCCTGTAATCCCAGCACTTTGAGAGGCCGAGGTGGGTGCATCACCTGAGTTTGAGAGTTTGAGACCAGCCTGGCCAACATGGAGAAACCCTGTCACTATTAAAAGTACAAAAATTAAGGCCGGGTGCGGTGGCTCACACTTGTAATCCCAGCACTTTGGGAGGCCGAGGCGGGTGGATCACGAGGTCAAGAGATCGAGACCATCCTGGTCAACATGGTGAAACCCCGTCTCTACTAAAAATACAAAAAAAAATTAGCTGGGCATGGTGGCACATGCCTGTAGTCCCAGCTACTCAGGAGGCTAAGGCAGCAGAATCGCTTGAACCTGGGAGGCGGAGGTTGTGGTGAGCCGAGATTGTACTATTGCACTCCAGCCTGGGCAACAAGAGCAAAACTCCATCTCAAAAAAAAAAAAAAAAAAAAGCCACCCCCTCCTGAAAGTCTTCATGGATTCCCCCTCACACACATCAGTCGCTTCCCCAGCTGGGTTCAGTGCTTCCTCTGGCCCCTGCCATCATTGATTTGCGGTCCTTACTAGCTTGAGAGTGTCCTGAGGGTAAGGACCTAGACATCTCTACATCCCAGTACCTGGCATGTGACTTGGCTTTTATCTCCACTACCGCTGCAAGGCAACCAGCCTCACCTCCATGCACTTTGGCAAGGGCCTACTCCTTCAAAGGAGCCACTCAGAGAGGGAGACACAAGGGGCAGAGGGAACCCGGGCTGGGGGTCCAGAGACCCCGGCTGGATCTGGCCCCATGCTGCACTGGCTGTGTGGCACGCACCTTCCCGGGCAGCCTCTACTCATCTGGTTCTACATTTAAGCCTCGTAGCAGACAGACCAATTAAGCTTCCAGCATCCAGCAGACAGGTTCCCTTTCTAGCGCACCTGTCACGTCCCTGAGAACATTTTATTCTGTACACAGCGTTATCAACACGCCTGGGAAATTCCCCTAATTTTCTGCTCAAAAGCAAAAACGGTAAACACCAAGGCAACAAACGGCAGCTGCCACACAAGGCCTTATTTTTTAAATCAGTTTTTCGGCGGCGGGCGAGGAGAAGCGTCCCGTCCTGTACGCGGCCTCTGCAATTTCATTTCTGAGTCAGCAGTTAGCACCTTTTGCTGCGTATCTTTGCCGATGCCGCAGGTTTCCGAGCCAAGCCCAGCCAAGCACGCGTTTGGAAACGAAGCCTTCAACATTCGTGGGATTGAACCAAGACCTTTGGAAGCACAAAGATGTACTTATTGACGTGGCCTCTGGGGTCTAACCGGCACTCACCGCAGAACTTCGGGGGGGACGATCAGCTGGTCGTATTTCAGGTGTTCACGGAGCTCACGCAGGTTGTTGAAATAGGTGACTTTTTTCCCAAACTTGTGACTAAGAAAGCAGAAGCAAGAGAATAAAAAACGGTTAGGCGCCAGCAGAGAGGCCGGGGCTGCAGGGACGGAGCGGAAGCTGGCAGCAGAACAACGCAGGCATTTTTCATATTAGGAAAATGTAAACGCTGACACCGCTTAAAACCCGAACACAAGAGGAGCAGCGCACGCCGGGAGATATTTTGCTTTCGTGAGATCGCCAATGCACCAAACACTCTGGAGAGGCTCATCTGCATAAAAATAAATATCTCCCTCCAATTTAAATCTGCCCTGAATTTGCATAGACATAGGAGATAGCGTGGAAGTGCCAAGAAGCCCTTTTGGGGGATTCAGGCTGGGCGGGGGCAGGCCGCCATTGGCACAGAGAGAAGCTCTGAGAGTGGAGCCTGCCCCAGGGTACCCCAGCTGCTGGTGGTTTTGGGGTCAGTGGTGGCCTCACATTTGGCCACCTCTTCTAAGGACAGAGACCAACAAGGGTCTCCAGGATAGAGTCTCTGAGACCCCAGAGAACAGCGCAGCTGCAAGGCCAGACACGCCCTGGCCAGGTGCAGCCACTCCGTCGTCTCCCTCCCCTTGTGCCCCAGGAGAATTCACTCCTTCTCAGGGCCTGGATCTGAAAGCAGGGTTTCTCCCACCGAACGGAGGGCGGAAGGCAACGCAAGGCTATGTGCACGTCTGGTCCACCGCCTGACACCTGGTGGACATGCTCGCTGTGATGATTCCTATCAGCAACAAGGCTCAGCATGAACTGCAAAGTGGGGACCACGGACAGGACATGAGCACGGTTTTATACAGGAGCCTGCAATCCTCACGGTATGACAGTCTAGGTGTGGCTTTTGCCATAAATATATCATTCAAGTTTTAGTTTGTAGGACAGTATTATTTCCTTATTGTATATCTTTAAGATACAACTTTTTTTTTCCCCTGAGATGAAGTCTCACTCTGTCGCCCAGGCTGGAGTACAGTGGCACGATCTCGGCTCACTGCAACCTCTGCCTCCCAGGTTTAAGTGATTCTCCTGCCTCAGCCTCCCAAGTAGCTGGGATTATAGGCACACGCCACCACGCCCAGCTAAGTTTTGAATTTTTAGTAGAGACGAGGTTTTGCCATGTTGGCCAGGCTGGTCTTGAACTCCTGACCTTGTGATCTGCTGCTGCATCCGGCCAAGATATACAACTATTAATGTGGGTAAAGAATTGCATCGTTACTGGAAAAGGGAAGTTACGTATTCTGCCAAACCGAAGATACCTTATGTTCTTTTTATGACACTTTGAAAGCGTGAAAGCCTTGAAATAAGTATTCACGTATTTTCAATGTTGTTTGTGAAATAAAAATAATTCAAGTTAACATTGCGAAAACAAAAAATACAGAGATCGTGGGCTGGACATGGTGGTTCACGCCTGTAATCCCAGCACTTTGGGAGGCTAAGGCGGAAGGATCACAAGGTCAGGAGTTCAAGACCAGCCTGACCAACACGGTGAAACTCCATCTCTACTAAAAATACACAAATTAGCTGGGCGTGGTGATGCACACCTGTAATCCCAGCTACTCAGGAGGCTGAGGCAGGAGAATCGCTTGAACCCGT